TTCCTCTCGGAGGGAATTAAACCATCGATATATGTAAGCCCGATAAAGTTTGTACTACCTAGTTCACCAGGGCACCGCCTTCGAATTAGCAAAATTCGGTACTGTTGGATCTTTAGCCAGCAAGGAGACTGTCTCAGGTCGGAAATATTTTGACTTTACGAATTTCGCATTGTCACATATCTACAACACTATAAAATAATAATGATAAGGCTTGCTTCTATGGCCCTCTACCAAGACATGGGAACAGGAACCGCCTGTTGTACGGGTAACTGTGCGCTTAATTCCAGCTAAATCGGTAATAGGGTTTGTGTTAAGGTTACTTTCAGATATAAGATTATTTAGGAATATTTACTGTTCCTGATAGGCCACACGGCGGGGAAGGGAGATTCCTACGCCACTTTCCTGCCGGTGGGTGGTTATGCAAGTATTTCCGACAAAACATCCACTGCTATTAAATAGATTACTAGATTATAACGAAATGAGCTCGAATCTACAGTCGTAAATAAGAAAAAAAGCTTCAGCGACTTAATATTGATTATTGGTCTTTATTGTCTGGATGAGCCTCCGGTTGGAGGAAAAATCATCTCCTTCGACGAGACATGAACGAAAAGTTTTGTCTGTCTGTCTGAAGGGCTAAGTCTACCTTTACTACCACAGAGCGCTGGTTGCGCCCGGCCATGCCGTTGCAAGCGGTTGCATAACTCTATGGATTCTTGTTCGAACGCGATGAAACCTTAAACTGGAAGAGAGCACAGTGGAAAGCAGGATCTACTGGAAGTCTCTGTTGATGTCATAATGAGGAATTGCGTACTTCTTTGACCATTGTCCCCGCTAACCCGAGCGGACGTTGTGTTGACACCTGATAAGTTTTTTCAAGGAAAAGCGTCCTTTGGGAAAATGAGGATGACCTGTACTGACCCCGGACCGACTCAAATTACAATTGCCAGTTAGTCATTACGCCGTTGCGACTGCTAATTATGTCCACCACGATGTGACGCAAATTGCAACTACCAATTAGCGCCCACACTAGACGACTATACAACTGCATCAGCACTTTAAAATGTTAATTGTTCTTTGCACATTCTTCTAAGGTCTGACGATGACCTGGAGATCCAGTGTCGAAAATTTACTGAATAAATTTCCTCATTTTCTCCAAGGACGCCTTTCCTTGAAATTGCATATCTTGGGATGCCTGCCTTCCAGTTTATACGAAACTTGATAAGTTAGCTACACCCGCTAGAATACCTCAGGTTTCATAGGCACACATGAGATGCATGTGGATAAAGCCGTTTATTATTCGTATTTACTCCTTCAGACTCACTTTATGAGAATCCCTCTTGTATACTTTCGACCTTTAAGGTCGGTGAAACCTGCAGCTTCCTATTTGTTACCTATATGTTTGTACATATACATCAGCGAACACCTACAGGGGTCATGCAACGGATGTGCCGGACCAACGCAGGGGTTAGACGAAGATACGACACGCGTTATGTGGGCGGCACCTCCCTGACAAATAGCACACACATGGGGAGGGTGTGGCGGCACGCCTAGACGTAGACTAACGCCGTGTCCACCATCCACACCCAATCCCCATATTGCCTGCGCGGACAGTGTACCGGCGCCTGAGAGGGGGAGAAAAGAGTAGTCCAGGTTTCCTTGTCATCGATATTTTTTAGCTAGTAACAGGACAAAGTTAGTAGATTTCCCCTGGACGGAAAAGGAAGAGCGATTCTAAGAGACTGCAAGGCTTTAGGCTTTGGCTAACCGTCTGCCGACAATGTAGACCGGTGGAAGAGAATAAAGCAAGACTTTTGTCAGCGCACTCTGAAAGCAGCGATCTTTTTATTTCACTTTTAAAATAGCGTATACATCGTCGTCGCCTTAAAGGCCTCGAGGGTAAGGGTCCCATATAAACATCGCCGAACTGTAGTTTGCTACAGATAACTAACTACTTATTTTGTTGTAGTAAGCCTGCTTTGTTTTATTATTTCACATAATCGTGGATTGCAGTGCTTCTCATGCATTATGTTTCTACGTATTTTATCCTGTGCGTATTCAGCATTTAACACTCCACTGCACTTCTTAGATGGAAATCTTTAGCAAGATGCTGTTAACTTTCGGCCTATCGTACTAAGATAGCTGCCTAACTTCCGTTAGCCGTTTTGGCTTCCTACTTCGATATGCAGGGTGTCCACAAAGTCTGGGTACATAGGAGATAAATACATACCTTTAGAACAAAACAATTTTATTTAATTATAATGTTAAGAAATTATATTTTCGATATGATTTTCATTATTTGC